ACCCCCTTTTAACGCCCGCTACCGTTGCCAATAAAAACGCGCGTTGGAGAGCAATGCGCAAATGACTACATTGTCCGTTTTGGGACTCTCTTGGGGGTGTTCCTCCATGAGTCTTTGGGCGTCTTGCCGGTGTCTGGGGCCGTCTGGAGGCTGTCAAGATTTCTTGGGCCGGTTGTTCGGCAATTCGGGGTCCTCTTGGAAATTCCTCGGCGCCTCTGGGAGCACTCTTGGTTCGTCTGCGGGCGTTCTGGAGGCCGGCCCCCGCTCCAAGGGGGGGCTGGTGTTCTTAACCCGGGACCCCCCCGGGACACCCCCTCTCGGGACCCCCGAGCCACCCCCCAGGACCCCCCCTTTGGCGAGGAAGGGATGACAGGAAGGGGGCTTCCCTTCGAATCAATGACGACGTTGCTGAATTGCGCTTTGGCTTTGGCATTTCGCTTTCGCTTTGGCTGGCGCCTTTCGAAGAGGAGGACAGGACAACGGGGGGAGGGATCGGCGACGACGACGACGACGACGGCGACGGCGACGGCGACGACGACGACGACGACGACGAGTCAAGCGGAGCAGCGTCAACAGCCCTTTCGGGAAAGGAGGGAAAGCGGCGTCGACGACGGGGCAGCCTCTTCCACACGCCGACAGGGTCGGCGGATTTTCTATTGTTGTTGGATGGTTTTGATAATGCTTGGTGGATCTTTTTCCTTAGGAACCATCCAGCGTGGGCTACCTTACTCGCGAGAAGATTTGTGAGCATTTTCTCATGGTCGATGTTATAGTCGTGGTTGCAATCGCGATTGGAGTCGTGATTGTATTCGCGATTGTAGTCGTAATCGTAGTCGCGGTTGTAGTCGCAATCATAGTCGTTGTCGTTGTGGTTGTTGCGCGGCGGTTACCGCGGAGAAACAGATTTTCCGCTATTGGTGGGCCCCCAGTCCGTTAAGAAGGGCGTCGAAGTTATAATTCCCCACATCCTAGGTGGGGTTCTTGTTTTCTCTGCACACCCTCTGCGCAGGATCTCTCCTCCTCCCTCTGTTCCTCACCAGTCACTCACACACTCACACACTCACATCATCATCATCATCATCATCATCATCATCATCATCATCATCATCATCATCATCATCATCATCATCATCATCTTCATCTTCATTATCACTATCATTATCATTATCATCATCATCATCATCATCACACTATGCAGGTGATCCGCTCGGAGGTGCCAACATATTTCAGCAGACAGCATTACACCGCATCGGCCATCGATAGACTGTTTGTCAGTACACCAGAGCATTACCTGATCGCCACGGACATCCACCTCTCTGTTGCTATGGACCCAGTGGAGATGGCCCAGTCACGCTTGAGCGACCACTCCATCATCCACGCCTCCTTCAGAGCCAAGCAGAACATCCCAGAGGAGGCGCAGCGCATCCCAGATGTGGTCTTCACGGACGAGCGTTACAAGATCATACTCGACAGCCTCATCAACGCGAGTGGACTGGAAAGGTTCTCGCCTGTGCTGAAGTGGACGTACATGAAACAGCTCATGCTTGAGGCCGCTCGTCAAACTCGAGATGAGCTTCAGCGGCTACCATATCGACCTGGCGACAAACGTGCACGAGGTGGCCGCAACATTACTCTCCGCAGTATTTCTAGAGCCGTGTGGAAGCAGGACCTACAGCAAGCAGCCCTTCTGGTATCAACCACCGAGGATGGCAAGCGCTTTCTCCACATCGATGAGGGTGGTGTCAGACTCCAGAACGCGGACACCTTTCGCGTCCTCTTCCGCTCACTACACGATGCGGAACTTGAGGCTATGCAGTTACGTGCTGCCCGAGCTGCACAAGCGGCACAACGAGCTGGAGACCAACCTGCAGCTGAAGCGCATTTTCGTCAACTGCGTGCTGGTCGCCGTAGGGCCTTCCGCACGTTTCGCAAAGCAGATGTTTTCTCTTTCACGGGACACGGTTTAGTGGCCCCACAGTCCGCCCTGATCCTAGGAGCGGCTAGTCTGTGGCGCTGCTCCACTCTCACGATCACTGACTGGGCAGCAGAGCTCGACAGGTGGCGCGAAACGGCGGCGCTGACCTGCCCCGTCGTTGACTGGATCAAAGGAGAGTGGAGCGCCCCCTGATGGATCCAAAAGCAGGGGATCGCCCAGCGTTTCGCAGATTTAGTGAATCGCCCACCCCGCCGAGGCATCCCAATTGTCCAATGGAGAGCCTCGCATGCAGCAGGCCGCATGGAAACCCGTGCGGCGCAAGCGGTGGGCAAGAAGCCCAAGCTCCAGCGTACGATCTCCTCCTTCCTCCGCCTCAATCTCTTCCCCAATAAATTTGAAGTCACTATCTCCAAGCGTCTGAACGCTTGGGGTCTTGCTGATAGCATCGTGGGCGGGGTGGCGGAGCGGTGGGGGGATTGTCTTGCAACGATTAAGAAGTTCAAACCTGCATGGCAGTGGTCAATCCTTAAGACCCTCGCAGGCGGCTGGACTACCAGCCATCGAATCCACGTGCGTGGGATCGTCAATTGCCTTTTTGGGTGCCCAGACTGACTCCATTGCCCATTATTTTTCTTGCCCCGTCCTCCGTTCCCTCGTCGGCCTCCCCTCCAACCCACTGACTTTCCTCGGCCTAGCGGCCGACAGCGAATACAATTGTGAGAGCTGCACGTTCTCGCGCGCTGATGCGCTGCGTTTGGCCGTGGTGGCATTCCATACTTACCATAAGGCGAAAGCTGCGGTGACCCATGGGGACCAGCTCACGCCAAGCCAACAGCGAGCCGCCTTCGCAGCAGCACAGCACGCCACTGACATCTAAAGCGGCTGACGATGCGTGCGAACTGGCTCGCCTCAGGTACGGTCGATCATCATCATCATCATCATCATCATCATCATCATCATCATCATCATCATCATCATCATCATCATCATCATCATCACATCTTCACCTTCATCACCTAGACACTCACTCAGACTCCTTCGGTCGCCTCCATTCACTTATAACTTACTATCCCACTCATTCACTCACTTCTCCTGAGTGGCCCCCTCATTCGCTCATCACTACCCCAGATTGAGTCGCGAGGAAGTCTCTGGCGGGAACCCCTCCCTATCGGGCCCGCACTTCATGTTGGCAATCCGAGCGGGTCATCGGAACCGTGTAATTGGAGGAAGTCTCGAGCGGAAGCCTCGTCTGTGAGTGATTTTTGATGGCGTGCTAGGCAGGAACCCCTTCCTTCGGGGGCCCGCAGATCATGTTACTTGTCCGAGCGGGTAATTGGAATCCTGTGACCATGGTCACTTTTGGCTTACTCTGGGTTGAATATGGAGGGAGTCTCGAGCGGGAGCCTCGTCTGTGAGTGCATTGCGAGGAAGTCTCAGGCGGCCGAGCCGGTCATCGGAACCGTGTATTTGACGTTCTTTTTGGCCTCCTCCTGCTTGAGGGAAGTATCAAGCAGGAGCCTCGTCTGTGGGTGAAATGCGAGAGGGTCTCAGGCGGCAGCCCTTTCGTATGGGGCCCGCAGATCATGTTGGTAATTCGAGCGGGCCATCGGAACCGTGTAACTGTCGTCATTTTTGGGCGACGAGGCTTGAACCTGGAGGAGGTCTCGAACGGGAGCTTCGTCTGTGAGTGAATTATCAGGAAGTCTCAGGCGGGAGCCCCCTCTCCCTATGGGGCTCGCATTTTGTGTTGGTAATCCGAGCGGGGTCATGCGAATCCCGTAACTGTCGTCACTTTCAGGCTTCTCGGGCCTCCCGCGGGGTAGCAGGAATGCGCGCTGGGCCAGCTCACGCCCCCGCTACCTACCGCAGGGAATCTGGCTGCAGGTGCACGCAGGAGGTCGCGAGGTCGCCGAGCTGCTGCGACAGGGCGCTGAAGGCGCCGACGTTGACGGCGTGGCCGAGGGTGAGGAGCTTGCTCATGTTCAGGTCCAGCGAGCAGGAGCTCACGTGGTAGAGCTCGGGACCGCACGTCGGGCGCCGCTCGGGGTTCACCCTGGCGCACGCGCCCCACCTCACCTCCACGCTGTCGCAGGGCCAGACGCTGTGCAAGGGCCTCGCCATCGACTGCGCGAGCGATGGGGACGCTGGCCGCACGGTCACGTCGGACGAACAGGGGTGGCTGCACCTACGTGGTGGTCCCCCGCGCCACGTGCGTGCGGAACGCGCTGATCCCGCGGCCGCGGTCGCGCGGGTTTTTAGGGGCGCGGGTCGCCGGCGCCGTTGCGGAAGGCGCTCAAGGAGTTCAACGAGAAAACGAAGACCGTCAGGGGTGAGGCGGAGCAGCTCGCAGCGCGGCTGGATTTCGCGCTGCCCCCCGCCTGAGCGCGGCCGCGCCTGCTTCGAGGCCGGCGGGGTGTTCCGCACGGCCTAGCCCGCGCGATTGTCCCGACGGCCTGCCCGCGCGCCCCAATGGCCCGCGGGGTGGCCCCAAAGCCATGGCCCGCGGGGTTGCCCCGAAGGCTTCGTGATCCAGCCGTCGGCGAACGCGCGCGAGCTGGCCGAGGCGGCGACGTCGCCGAGGGACATCGATTTGCTTGCCCCGACCGCGGGGAAGGGGAGGTGCGCGCGGAGAAGGACCAGGAGGAGGATGAGGAGGGGGCATGGGGGGTAGGGGGAGGGCGATGATGATGAGGTGGTGGAGGAGGAGGAGGAGGAGGAGGAGGAGGAGGAGGAGGAGGAGGAGGAGGAGGAGAGGAGGGATAAGGAAGGGACACATAGAGGGCGGAGGACGAGAGGGCAAAGCAGAGGGCGAGAGGAGGGTGTCCACCAGGGCGAGACGGACAGGGCCTCGGGCGAGCTAGACCGACTTTCGCGTGGGATCATACCGTCGGAGTAATTCGTTTCCATTTTCGGGGGTCATAAAAATCCATCTCGGTTGCACCGTCTGCGTCCTCCCCCTCTTCCTCCTCCTCCTCCTGCTCCTCCTGCTCCTCCTGTTCCTCCACCTCGTCGTCGTCCTCCTCCTCTTCGTCCTCCTCTTCCCCCCGCCCCCCCCGAAAAAAAGGCCGACGCTGAGAGGGGCAGGGCGGACCTGCGCGGGGCTCAGCGCGCCCCCCTCTTCTGGATCGAGGCCCTGTTTCGAGCAGTGGCGGAGCGTCTTGGCCTTAATTGCCTCCATTCTCCTATTTTTGAAACGCAACGCGTACCTGCTTACAACGTCCGTGTCAGTACGTTGCGTGTTGGCGCAGCGTATTGGTTACGCTTCCCGTCTACGTGTCGAACTCCGTATCAATACGCTACGTGTTGCATGTTGCGTGCCGGGGCAGTTGAGGTCCTGGCTTGCCTATGGGCCCACCGAAGAATGTTCCTAGAACGTTGTTGTGGTTCGCCCGAAATGCCTTTACAGTATTCCAGGCTGCGCGTTCTAAGAACATTCCGTGGCAGGTCCATCGGGATTTCTGGACAGTCGGTCTTCGGTCAACTCGGGCAGCGGCGGGAGGCCGTCGGCAGCGGCGGGAGAAGGAGGAGGAGGAGGAGGGGGAGGAGGAGGAGGAGGAGGAGGAGGAGGAGGAGGAGGAGGAGGAGGGGGCCCTTCTGCTGAACGGACACGGTTGGCCCTCACCGGGGCCGAGGAGTGGCGTGAAGGCATCGGCGGCCTCCAACGGTCTGTGGGCCTGCTTGCACCTCCCGGGGGGGAATCCTTCCTCTCTCTGTCTCTCTCCTCCTCTCCTCCTCCTCCTCCTCCTCCTCCTCCTCCTCCTCCCTCTCCCCCCCCTCCCCCCTCCTCCCTCCTTCTGTCTCCTTCTCGTCCTTTTGCCTCTTTCCTCCTTCGTCCGCCTACCTCTCCTGCTGCTCGCTCTCATCCAGAGATCGGTCTCTTCGCAGTGTTCCCTCACGTTCGTTTCGTCTCAAGGGGTTCTGACAACATATTACTCCAGATTTCGTAATATAGGGAGGGGGGTCTCATTTCGGGGGGGGTCTCTTCCAGGCTATCTTGGAGGGCCTGGGGGGTCTGGGGACGATGTTTTGGAGGGTTCTCCCACGGGGGAGGTCTGAAATGGCTTGTCTTGGAGGGTCCAGACCCCCTCCCTTTTATTACGAAATCTGGAGTACCGATGTAGTCGTTCCAATTTCGGATGCTTGCCTGCACGGACCTAAACAGTGAAGTATTGCACTCTGGGGGTGCCGGCTATACAGTGACATTTATGTGGTGTAAGCTATGTGGTGTTAGCTATGTGATGCTAGCTATTTGGTGTACGCTGTGGGGTGTCCGCAAGGTGGTGTGAGCACGTGATGTAAGCTTTGTGGTATAGTGTGTGTGTTTGTGTGTGTTGTCGTCTGGGTCGTATAAGTTATGTGGTGCACGCTGTGTCGTGTAAGGTAGGTGGTGCTAGCTTTGTGTTGTGAGGTGTGATGTGAGCCGTGTTGTGAGCTGTGCTGTGAAAGGTATGTGATGCAGGCTATGTGGTGTCAGTTATGTTGTGCAACCTAGGTGTTGTCAGTTAGGTGGTGATGCAAGCGATGTGGTGTAAGCTACGCAGGTAGCGGCGAGTCGCCCATGGGTGCCCACCGGTCGAAGACCCAACAGCCAGCCACCATGCACAGGGCGCCCACAGGCGTTCACCAGGCGAGAGCTCAACAACCATTCGCCTCGTACTGGGCGCGCCCACGGGACGCCCACCAGGCAGTAGTCCAACATGCAGGTCCATCAGAAGAAATGAAGAATTCATGGCAGGCACTATCCAAGGGAACATCGCCCGCGGTCGATCCGCGCTCCCGAGCCTGCTCCATGCCGTGCCCATCCTTCTCCTGCGGGCCCCAGCGCTCACCAGTCACTATTCGCTATGAGTTGTGGCCTCGTTGGGTGCGGTTGGGGCGGTCCATACAAGCATCGACCACCATCTGATCGGACCGTCGTACGGCGATGGGTTCGGGAGATTGGCGCTTTGGGCTTTGGACCTATTTCTTCATCCGTTCGTTGTCCAAGCTTTACCTGTGCGTGCCCCTCCTACTGGGAAATTTTGATGGTTGTTGTTCAAGTGGCTCAAACATGCCATTCCGCCGACCCCGGAAGGCGTCAGGCATCCACGGTGAGGTCGTTCGGCGAGGGATGGGGGCCGTGGAGTGCTGACGAGGTTTTCGTTGTTGCTATTCAGGGTCGCGTTTGGGGGACATGACTAAAAAAAGTAGCTCACACTAGGGGCTGCTTGGACGCTTCGGGGGAGGTCCTCTTGGGAGCCATGGGAACCTCCTGCGGGCCTCTTGGAGCTCGTGGGAGTCCCTTGGGAGCTTCTTGGGAGCATGTGGTGGCATGTGGATGGTCTTTCGGGCCACCTTGGGAGGGTGGGCTCCCAGGGCCTCTTCGAGCTCCATTTTTTGGACCCCTCTTGGGGGCAGCTAGGGCCTTTGGGGGTCTTCCTGGGCCATCTTGGGGCCCTCGTGCGCTGTCTTGGCGGGCTCTTCAGGGCTTGCTGGATCGTCTTGGGCCAGTCCGGAGAGCCTCCTAGCAGTCTCCGGCGGAGGCCCGAAGAGGCGAGATCAGCAGCATCTGTCAAGCACAAAGGACAATTCGTTTGTTACCAGGTGAGGCTGTTGTTTTTTTTCTGACGTGTGTCCTTGATGCATGGTATGGCTGCCTGCTTTCGGCGCTTGTTGTTGATGGCTGGAATCGGTGTATGTATTAGGGTATGCCTGGACTTAGTGTCTGCTCTTGATGTGCATGCCACCTACGTGTGTCCTTGGTGCATGTTATTGATGTGTGGGGTCTTCATGGGCGATATTCCCAACCTGGCAGATTGGGGCTGGTAGATCATGTCCCAAAGATCTCTTAGTACCCCACCGTGCCAGCCGTGCATACAACAGTTGCCACGCCAATGCAATCCCAAATATCTCTGAGCAGTCCGCCTCGCCGAGCCCCACCTGAGGAGGCAGCACGGCATCACGCCGGCCAGGCGTCACGACGTCACAACATCACATACTAACAATACACATCAGTGACAGCCACCAGCCAAGAATATTTATCAAGTGTGCGCTCCAAGAACCCGCATCAATAACACACAACTGTGACCCGCACCAGCAGCATGTATCAATCACATACACCATGGGCATATGAACACCATTAGAGGCTTATCGGGGGACATCTGGGGGGCACCGCGGGCCCCCCTGGGGTCATATGTGCGCGTTGCCCTTGGGCCTCTGTCGGCTTGCGTTGGGGCCGTCTGGCTGGTCTCGATGCCGTCTTGTAGGTCTTTTGAAGCGGCTTGGGCCCGTCCCAGGGAGAGAAGCGATGTTCGGCGGCCTTCGGTGTGGGGTCGCCTAGAACATTGCCACCCAACACGCTTCAGGTGTTGAAAATACGGTGGCGTGAGGGTGAGAGCCTTAGTCATTCGTCGCACTGGTAGCGGAGAAGGCTGGGTATCGGACTCGATTGTTTTGCATCGTTTGCATGTTCATGTTCGCCCATTTGATTATTGGACAGTGCGTGCTCTTGCTGGGCACCTTGTCTCTTCATACTGTTCTTCCTCTTCCTGCTTCCTGGCTCCCTCCTGATGTACTTCCTTTGCTGCAGCTTGACTCCAGAGGCAGGCGCAGTTCATTTATAAGGCACCTCATGTGCCATTCTCTTCGCACCCATACCGCACCGGTCTGGCGTTGCTACACACTTCCGCCCATTCGGGGATGCCCTGCCTCAGATATCTCACAGCAGCTTTGGCATTAGTGGACGCCCAAGCTGTGAAGCTAAGCACCGACTATTCAGTCGGGTCGACATGGCCCGCAGTCTCAGGGAAAACTGAGGCAGCAGACAGCAAGAAGAGCGTGGACGTTGACCATGAGTGGTTTCAGGGAGTCAGCACGTCTGGTGGCATTACGTGTAAGATGAAAGATCAATGTGTTGTTGGCTCCGGCTTGGGCGATTGCAAAGTGATGGTGGACCCGACCATGGCGATTCCGTTGAGCAGCACCGACTCGGGACATGCTTGCGACTTCGAGTTCAACCATGATTTGAAATACAGCAGGGCAGCCCGGAACACCACGCCAACAGCGGATATTACGATCACCGGGTATGAATCGTCGTCGCATTGGAACCTGTGTTGGACGAGAGATACTATGGAAGCCGATCGCCGAGCATTGCGTGGAGCCGTTGTGGAAGATTATTGTTACTACGTCAGCGGCCTCTGTTTTCTATGGGCGTCTCCGTGCTCAGGAGGGTGTTCCAAACTTCGTGAGTTTTCCGAATATAAATGGTTCTGCCCTGGGTTGCGCTACGCCACTCCAGTGGAGTTCTCGACTGCTCTGCCCACGTTGAACGCTAACAGAAAAGACTTTTACAGCAAATGCGCCTCTGAGCAACTGGATCCACAGTGGAGCTTTTGCGACTACGCGAACGAGTTCGTGCGAGTGGAGGACGATAGCTGGAACGAGTTGGTCTTGGTGTGCGACGGTGAGCCACAGCGGACCCAGGCTCCCGGGGGTCGGAATCGTCTCATCTAACGACGGGATTCAGAGCCATAGTGCTAATTTTACCAACTACAGCTCCCCGAATCCACCACACCGCTGCATGGCGCCACGTCCGGACGAGTGGCAAAATGGGGCAACGTCGGGTCATCCAGTGCCCTTGCCGCCCGTGTGCGCCACCGCGCTTGTGGACGTTGCGCAGCAGCGCTCGGCGTGGCACCTGCGGCTTCACGAGGCTGTTGCGCTGCTCGTCTGGTGTCGCTCGGGGCCACAGACTCTGGCACTCCGACCTCTCTGCACCAAATCGTTGACACCTAGACTCGATCCCTAGGGGGAGGGGTGCTGCACGGCTGTGGATCTCTCTTGCGGGTCGCCGCTGGGGGTCGGAGGATACCGTTGACACGACGAGTTCGGATTCCCGCGAAGGTGCGGGGCGTCGCCACGACGGCCCAATCCTCCCTTCTTCTTGGGAGGAAGAAATGGCGCTGCCGCTGCCTGTCTCTCGTCGCCACGTCTGGATTCGCCTCAAGATCCCAGTCGGAACGCACCCCAGGAGTGATCCTGGGAGTAGCTATACGAGTATCTTTCTGTTTCCCCCCTCCTGGTGCTCATCCTCATCCTCGCCCTCCTTAGTCTCCCTGTTCTCCTCGACTCATCTGTATCCTGTTCTGGATATCCTTAGTACCTTCCAATTGGTCATTGAGGGCATCCTGGGTCATCTCGGGGCCTTCTTGGGCACGTCTGAAGGCTTCTCGGAACCATATTGGTCCGAGAAGGCGAAACACATTGAATAATGATTTTACGTTTCGCAATGTTGTTGGCCAATCTTGGGGTCCACGGTGTGGCATCATGGCGGCATCTGGGAGCATGGGTGCCATCGCGCAGGGCGCCCGACTTGTCACGCCCGTACACTCCGGGTCTCGAGAGTGCTCGCGTGCACGTGACCACGATGCAGGTGCATCACAGCCCCAGTGTTTCTCCGATGCTTGTGGTTCGCACGCAATGTAGACAGATTCGCCAAACAGCGCTTCCACTCAGGAGTTCTTGATCCTGGAATAAGCAGTCGTCGCCATCGCTGCAGCGTCGTCACCTCGTCGCCGCCCGTCGTCTGGGCCTGGGGGTCGGTTTGGTGGCTATGTCGTCGCCGTCGCCGCAGCGTCGCCAGCTCGGTGCCGCCCGTCGTCTGGATTTAGGGGGTCGGTCTGGCGGCTGCTACAGTCGGGGCCTTGACCTAAGGAACCCAAAATAAGGAACGAGGCCCCTTTTTTCCATGAGTTAAACGTCGACTTCCGATCGAAAACCTAAGGAAAACCTGAGGCAAGCTGCGAAACACTTGAGGAACGCGGAGCCCCTCCCCAACGAAAAGGGTTCCTTCTTCAGGGCCCCGACTGTATAGGAGCCCATGCCAAGAAACACCATACGTTTTGCCAGGGTGCCTCGGATTTCTTCGGCTGGTGTTCGCATTGCAGGCTGGCAGCGGTCGCGAAGAAACCGCAGCTGGTTGGGAACCCTGAGTATCGTGACGCTGCGATGTTTTTCTCGAGCCCTCTATAGACCGCCTGGCCCAGGATACCCTGAGTTTTTTTCACTGGCAGCCGCTAGCTGATAAACCCAACCCCTGCCCAAGAGGCTTCGACGATTTTCAGGGTCGGGTGTCCTGCGACGGGTTTCTTGTGGACTGGTCTTGGCTGTATGTCATCGCCGTCGCCGCCTCGTCGCCGCCCGTCGGCTAGGCCTGGCCGCCGGTCGGGCGGCTATGCCGTCGCCGTCGCCGCCCCGCCCCGTCGTCGCCGCCCCGTCGCACCCCCCTCTCCCCCCTTGCAATCCAATCGATTGCAACCCAACAGAGTGCAATCGAATGGATTGCAGTCCAATCGGTTGCGCCACATGCGCCACATTGATTCTCTATATTTCGTAAAAGAAATAGGTTCTACGACCCTCCCCCCCCTGGACTTAAAGGTCCTCTTTCGTATTGCAATTTACATCCGGTTAGATATGGCTTTACATCATCCTAGGGGGGCCGGTATCGCCCCCCCCCGCCATTCTCTGCAACAGAATAATATGCGCGCGCTCGTTTATCAACAATCAAAAGTTTTCAACAGTCCCTGGCAACAAGTGAGACGAAGTGCACACGAGCGTGTCGTCGCGCGCGCATGCCGGAATCCTTCAAAAACCTTCGGTTTCGGAAGGGTTTAAAAATCGAGTGTCCACAGAACATGCAAAATCACAGGGTTTCGCAACACGTATTTTCAACAAAAGCGTGTGCGCGCGCTCGTGCGAATTCTAAAGACAACCATGCGCTTTCCAACATTTTCATAACATGCTACCAAAACGGGCTTCGCGCGCGCATGTCGAAATCGTTCGAACGCCCTTGCGCGCTTCCTGGGGTGGCATGATCCGTGTCAAATAATACCATGCGAGCCAATCTCGCGCGTCTGCCGCGCGCGCGCATTTTGATTGATTTCCATCCAAAACCTTCATCACCGACGCGAAGACGCCGTCATCGTCGTCGGCGTGATCGGCATCGGCGCCGTCACTGGCTGCCCCGTCGTCGCTGCCAGCATCGTCACCAGCATCGCTACTATCATCATTACGTCTACCGTTGTCGACGTTGCCATGATACCGCGCCCGCCCAAGTCGCCGACTCGCACTGAAGTGCCCGCTGGGATGTGCCCAGCGGTCAACGCCACCGCGGCCGCGTCGGTGGCGCCAAACTATCTGGCCGCTGCGCGCGCGAGCATTCGCGGGCCAGCGCGGCCGCAGAGATGCACTAGCCAACGCCAAGCATTCGTCGCAATCGCCGCCGCATGGGTTTTGCAAACCAAATTGCGGGTGGGTCGGTGGAATGATTCCGCGAGCAGTAGAGTTGACAACTCACTGCGAACAGTAATTGCTTGCACAACATACATTGCACCACGTGAGCCACAGTGGTTGCAGAACATCGATTCGCACCACCTAGATTCTCCTGTCTAAAAGACTTACCCCCCCCGGCGTTATCGGACCCCTCTCGGGTATGTAAATAATTTATGATTCTGACCACATGTCCATCCGAACTATGAATTTGCACTATCCCCGGGGGGCGGTATCGCTCCCCCTGAGGTTCCCTGGTGAAAAAACAATGCGCGGGGACATTTTTTGCTCTAACATGAGACCTTTTTCGCGAATCCCCTGCAACAAATCGGACGAAGTGCGCACGCGCGCGTCGTCGCGCGCGCATGCCGAAATCCTTCAAAAATCTTCGGTGCCGGAAGGATTTCGCAGTGGCGTTTCCAACAAATATACAAGAACACAGGGTTTCGCAACACTGGTTTTCTAAAAAAGCTTACGCACGCGCTCTTGCGAAATCTAAATGGAACCATTTTCTTTCAATATTTTCCACACGCAATGCTACCAAACGGGCTTCGCGCGCGCGCATGTCGAAATGTGTCGGACGCTCTTTGCGCGTGTGCCGTCGCGAAAATCCTTTCTGCAAACAAATGGGGCGAAGTGCACACGCGCGCGTTGTCGCGCGCGTATGCCGAAATCCTTCAAAACCCATCGGTTTCGGAAGGGTTTAAAAATCGTGTATCCCAAAATCATACAAAAACACAAGGTTTCGCAACACGGATTTTCAACAAAAGCGTGCGCGCGCGCTCTTGCGTCGTCGTCGTCGTTGTCGTCGTCGTCGCCGTCCTCCCTCCTCCCGCGTCGTCGTCGTCGTCGCCTACGTCGTCCTCTGTCTTTCCTCGTGTTCGTCGTCGTCGTCCTCTTTGGCGTCGTGGTCGTTTCCGTCGTCGTTGTCGCCGTGGTCGTCCTCCTCCTCTCTCGTCGTCGTCGTCCGTCGTCGCCGTCTCGTCGTCGTCCCTTCTATAACGTCGCCGTCGTCTTCGTCGTCGTCGTCGTTGTCGTCGTCGTCGTCTTCCCTCCTCCCTCGTCGTTGTCGTCGTCGGCGTCGCCGTCCTTCCTCCTTCATCGTCGTCGTCGTCGTTGTCGTTGTCGTCGTCGGCGTAGCTGCCGTTGCCAAAAGCTATTTGGCACCTACCGCCACTATTTGAAGAGGTCTCGCGACCAAGTTGCGGGTGGGAGGGTGGGATACAACAAATGGTTTCGCAACATTGGCGTTCTAAAAAAGCTTGCGCACGCGCTCTTGCGAAATCTAAATAAAACCATTGGCTTTCAATATTTTCAAGACAAAATGATACCAAACGGGCTTCGCGCGCGCGCATGTCGAAATCTTTCGACGCCCTTGCGCGCGTGCCGTCGCGAGCATCCTCTGAACAAAAATGGGACGAAGTGCGCACGCGCGCGTCGTCGCGCGCGCATGGCGAAATCCGTCAAAAACCTTCGGCTTCGAAAATGTTTCAAAATCGAGTCTCCAGGAACATACAAAAACATATGATAGGGTTTCGTAACACGGATGTTCAACAAAAGCGTGCGCGCGCGCTCTTGCGTCGTCGTCGTCGTTGCCGTCTTCCCTCCTCCGCCGTCGTCATCGTTGTCGTCGCCGTCGTCGTTCTCTGTCTTTCCTGGTCGTCGTCGTCGTCGTCATCTTGGCGTCGTCGTCGTCTCCGTCGTCGTTGTCGTCGTGGTCGTCCCTCCTCCCTCGTCGTCTTCGTCGGCGTTTCGTCGTTGTCCCTCCTATTTCGTCGCCGTCGTCGTCATGTCGTCGTCGTCTTCCCTCCTCCCTCGTCGTTGCCGTCGTCGGCGTCGCCGTCCTCCCTTCTTTGTCGTTCGAGTCGTCGCCGTCCTCCGTCCTCCCTCGTCGTTGTCGTCGTTGCCGCCGTCGTCGTCCTCCCTCCTCCCTCGTCGTCGTCGTCGACGTCGTCGTCGTCTCCGTCGTCGTCGTCGTCTCCGACGTCGTCGTCGTCGTCTTCCCTCCTCCCTCGTCGTTGGCGTCGTCGGAGTCGTCGTCGTCGTCGTTGTCGTTGTCATCGTCGATGTCGTCGTCGGCGTTGGCGTCGGCGTCGGCGTCGTTGTCGGTGTCGGCGTCGGCGTCGTCGTCGTTGTCGTCGGCGGCGAAGTCGTTGGAGACGTCGTCGGTATCGTCGTCGTCGTCGTTGTCGGCGGCGTCGTCGTCGTCGTTGTCGCTGTCGCCGTCGGCGTCGGTGTCGGTGCCAAGTGCCATTTGGTACCCACCGTCACGGTCTTAAGAGGTCTTGCGACCAAGACGCGGGTGGGAGGGTAGGATGTTTGCACGAGCAGTGGAGAGGACAGCTTCAAGTTGAGCAAGTGGTTGATTGCACCATATAGATTGCACCGCGTACATTGCACAACATAACTTGCACCACATCGGTTGCACACCGTATGATGCATTACCTAAACTGCACCACGCATGTTGCACCACATCTATTGCCCTGCATAGGTTACACAACAAATCGTTTCAGAAGCATTATATGTTGGTCACGCTGGCTAGCATGTAGAGTGTACACGTTTACACACATATATACGTATGTATGTATGTATGTATGTATGTATGTATGTATGTATGTATGTATGTATGTATGTATGTATGTATATATGTATATGTATATGTATATATATGTATACATTTACACA